TTTGAGTGAGGTAACCCAGATTCAGAAAGACAGTTATCACATGTACTCACTCATAAGTGTTTTTAAAACATAAAGCAAAGAAAATCAGCCCACAGATCACAATCCCAGAGAACCTAGACAACAATGAGGACCCTAAGAGAGGCACACATAGATATAATCTACATGGGAAGTAGAAAAAGACAAGATCTCCTGAGTAAATTGGGAGCATGGGGACCTTGGGAGAGGGTTGGAGGGGAGGGGAAAGGCAGGGAGGGGAACAGAGAAAAATGTATAGTTCAGTAAAATCAATTAAAAAATACAGGGCCTCGTATAAGCCAACCATGTGGTCCACTGTTGAGTTATGCCCAGCCCCTCGTTAGTTATTGTGCATGTGTGTGCGTTCCCGTGTGTAGCACGGTGTACCTGTAGAGGTCAGGTGACAACTTACATGGGTCAGCTTTCTCCTTCTACCGTGTGGATCTCAGGGACCAAATTCAGATCATGAGGCTTGACCGAAAGCCTCTTCCCCCAACAATTCATTTCGCCTCCCCTAAGGTACTGACTTACTGACTTTTGTTGTTTTGTCTTTCAAAATGATTTACTATCGTGTGTGTACATGTGTGAGCACAGCTGTCATAGCCCGGAGGTGAGGTGACAGGGATAACTCAGGTCCTCAGGCTGCTAGAGGCTGTCTTCACCTGCTGAACCACCTCACTTGCCCCGTTTTGTTTTCTCAGACAGGGTCTCACACGGGTGAGTGAGTCCCATCTCACTCAGACTCCTTTGCTGAAGATGATCTTGAACACTTGATTCTTCTGACCTTCTATCTTCTGAGTGTGGAGTTAGAGTCAAGCCCCGTCATGCCCCATTTATGTGGTAATGGTGGTGGTGTGGGGTCCAAACACAGTACCTCCAGCCTGCAAGGCAAGCACTCCACCCACTGAGTTATCCCTACCCCCTATAGGTCACCATGAATCCTTTCTGACACAGGGCCAATATCAACTCCGTGAGGAGGCTTTGCCCTCAGCGTTGGATTAAAAACAACACACACACCTAGAACCTTTCCTACCTATTTACTTACCTAGTTTATTGACTCATCTCACCTGAGTAACTGACACTGTATGACATTTTATCAGTAGGTTTTTATTCCCTGACATCTTCAGTTGTAATAGTGTGAGATTTTGCCTGTTCCTCAGCCTGTGACCCTAGCTTAGCTAGAAGGCGGCCAGCAACAAAGACTTGTCCATGACATTGCATAACAGAAGGGGGAGGGGAGGGGACCCCCCCCCCCACAGCGAGACTGGTGGCTGATTCTTTGGGGAGAAGGGTCTAATTTCTGCAGCGGTGTGGTCAGGATAAATTGCTCACACTCGGGCAAGTAACCCATATTAAACCCAGTGGATCACACACAAAAAGATCATCATGTTGAGAAGAGTTCCATCAGGCAACAGGGTGTGAGGGGGAGGAACAGGGCAGGGCAGAAATGACTAAAAGTCATTTTATATGGATTTATGAGTCTGTCCAAAACAACAACAAAAAATTAAGTCTTGCATAGTGGAGCACTCCTTTAATCCCAGCACTCAGGAAGCAGAGGTAGGTGGATCTCTATGAGGTTAACCTTGTGTACATAGTGAGTTCTAGGCTAGCCAGGGCTACAAAGAGAGACTCTGTCTCAAAAAAATAATTATTTAAAAGATTGATTTTCTGTGTATGAGTGTTTTGCCTGCATGTATGTATGTGTACCATATGTGTGCCTGGTGCTCAAAGAGACCAGAAGAAGACATTGGATACCCTGGAACTGGAATTACAAAGGGTTGTGAGCTACCATGTGGAGGGCGGGCCCTGAACCGGGTCCTCTGCAAAAGCAGCCAGTGCTCCTTATCAGTGAGTCAGTTCTCCAGCCCCAGCCAAATAAAAGGATAAGTTGTTGGACAGGCGCTGGGGAGGGGCTGTGGCTTAGTGATGAAGAGCAAGCCAAGGGCGTACAGAGGCTTGGAAATTGGTTCCCACCGTCACAAAAGGGAAAAAAGACCAAATGAATAAATAGCTCCTTGAGTTAAGCGAGGAGAAATGAGGTAATACATATTAGATAATGGATCTGAGCAAAGACGATTGTCCTTCAGCACAGAGCCTGGTGTCGCTGCTGTCGCCCACGCCAGGCTTACTAGGGGGCACATCCTGTGAAATGTTTCACTGCAGAAAGTCCCCCCACCTTCCTGCCAGAAAACCCTGCCTGCAAGACAAGCCCAGTCAAAAAACTTTGGGAAGAAAGAGGAACACTTTTGACACAAATTCCAGGAGAACCCAAAACCACAGAAACCACCAAAACTAAACAGAAGAGCACATTTGTTTAACCTCTGGGAAGCTAGACTCTTAGTCCCTCGTGCTGATGCTGACGGCGGAGCCGTGGAGGGAGCACAAGGACAGCTTTTGGTTCCTTGCAGTGTGGAATGCACGGTGTTTGACAGTGTGGAAAACCGCCGCTAGCTCCAGGCCCTGTGATGGGGCAGCGTGCATGCAGCTGGAACAGCCTGGGCAAGCTGAGACTGACGCCAGAAGCGCCCAATGCTGGGCCCACAAGGCTGGTGCTGCCTCCTGCTGCATCTGCCGAAATAAATGCCCCAAATCTCTGCAAAACAATGGCGACTTTTCAAGGCTCAGCAATCTGACCACTTCCATGTAAGAAGCCAAATCACAAAGGCCTGGCCACTTTCCCTGACATCTGGGGCATTTTGCAACAGGACGTTCCCCCAACCATGGGGATCTCTGCATTTGTCTACTTTCTTCATTGATAAATCCTGAGGACCCAGTAAGAATTTGGGGTGTGGCGCTGGAGATTGTACACTATGTATGTACTCTGAGGGACACCCCAACCTTCAGGAAGGAACTGGAAAGATGGCATAGTGGTTAAGGGCTCATTGTTTTCCACAGGACATACATGTCAGATGTGTGTCTGAGGTTCAGCCTTCAAGTCATTTTGGTTCCTCCTCCTCTTCTCTGTCACTCATGTAGCTCAGGCTGCCCTCAAATTCGCTCACTATCTTGAACTCCTGATCCTCTTTCCTCTTCCTAGGGGTGGGGATATAAGAGTCACCAGGCCCGTCTCCAGCTCACTCGTTAGATATCAGTAAAAACTGTTATCACAAGGATTGTTCACTCTGCCCCACAGCTCAATCTCACAGCACATTTTTAACCTCTGTGTTTTCTTTCCGTAGTGCAAAGACTGTATCTGTCTGTCTGTCTCCATCACCTCTGTATCCCCAGTCCTAGCATGCTGCCTGGGTACAGCAGCTGCTCACTAAATACCTGCTGGAGGAGTCACACATGCGCGCACACACACAGAGACAGACAGACACACAAACAGACAGACACACAGAGAGACACGCACAGAGACAGAGAGACACACACACATAGAGACAGACAGACACACAGAGAGACACACACATGGAGAGACAGACAGACACACACATGCACACTCAGAGACAGACACACACACACAGAGACAGACAGACAGACACACACGCGCGCGTGTGCACAAAAGCAGACAGACACACACACAGAAACAGACAGACAGACACACACACACACAAGCGCGGGTGCAAGCACGCATATCCCCAGTCCTTGCAGCTGCCTAGATACAGCAGCTGCTCAATAAATACCTGCTGGAGGCGTTACGCACACACCCACACACACAAAAGTCACTTCCCTGTGGAATCTATTGGAGCTAAAATATACACGTACAAAGTAACAAGAGGATATTACAAAGGGATATGCTCCTGGGAGGTGGGGTTTCTTTGTCCAAGGACTACAGTGTAAAACCATTCTGTACTTCCTGCTTCCCTTGAAATCCCTCCAAGGAAAGATGGATCGATTTTCAGTAAGATTCCAGGGATTCCAAGAACCACAAGAATTAGTCATGCAGGCCATGGACTAAAGTTACTCTGGCTCAAAGCCAAAAATAGAATTTTAGAGAGGAAAAAAAATAAGAATCAAGGTCTGTGACCTGGAGTTCAACACTGTTGTTTCGTTTGTTTTGTTGTTTTGTTTCTGAGACAGGGTTTCTCTATGTAACAGTCCTGGTCGTCCTGGAACTCAATTTGTAGACCAGGCTGGCCTTGAACTCACAGAGATCCGTCCTGAGGGCTGGGATTAAAAGTGTGTGCCGATACACCTGATTTACAGGTGTCTTTTAGATTACCATCCCAAATTATGTTTTTAAGTAATGAAGCAAGTGTTACAAAAGCGGAAACTGGGCTTGGGTTCCCTCTGGGTTACATTTTCCCAGCCTTTAGGCAGATTCACAGAGGCAGGTGACAGCCCTGGTTATCTCCAGGTTAGAGCTCTCTGTGTGATTGTGTAAGTCTGGTCTCAGTTATCCCAAACAAACCAACTTAACTCTGGAGCAGCTTGAGGCCCAGGGTCATTTTCTCAAGTAGGTTAGCAAGCAAACTTTGCTTCTTCAGGTAAGAGAAGCGCTCTCTCTCTCTCTCTCTCTCTCTCTCTCTCTCTCTCTCTCTCTCTCTCTTCTGGTTTTTCAAGACAGGATTTCTCTGTGTCTCTCTAGATGACCTGGAACTCACTCTGTAGACCAGGCTGGTCTCGAACTCATAGATATCTGCCTGCTCTGCCTCCCTGAGTGCTGCGGTTAAAGGCGTGCACCACCACCTCCTGGCTAAGAAGAGACTTTTCAATGAGCAAAGACTCAAAGGAGTGAAAGAGAGTTCAACTAATTCAAAGGTGTAACTATTTCCTTAGCTTCCTAAGTTGTCTAGGCAAGCTAGTTTGTAAGTTATGTTTGAATAAGAATGGGGTCAGGGGACTGGTTGTTAAGAGCACTGGCTGCTCTTCCAGAGGACCCGGGTTCACTTCCCAGCACCCACAAGTCAGCTCATAACTGTAACAACAGTTCCAACTGATCTAACACCCGCACACAGATATGAATGCGGACAAAACAGCAATGCACATAAAGTAAAAATTAAATATTAAATTAAATATTAAAAAAAGAATTGGGTCAGAGCCTCTAAGTTTAATTTTTTATTTAATATCTCTGAGGGGGTTTATTAGTACAACTATTCTCTTTATATTCCTTTTTTGTCTGTTTTGTTTTTCGAGACAGAATTTCTCTGAAGCTTGGGAGCCTGTCCTAGAATTCGATCTGTAGACCAGGCTGGCCTCAAAATTACAGAGATCTGCCTGCCTCTGCCTCCCGAGTTCTGGGCTTAAAGGAGTGCGCCACCACTGCCCGGTTTACCTTCTAATCAGTGTTAAGGCTTGTCCGTATTTGTTTTCACCTTCATCATCAACGAAGCTCTGGGTGCGATCCACAGTGACACATAAATCAGACACAGTGACACATGTCTGTAATCCCAGCATCCTCCCCTACATGGTGAGCTCCAGGGCAGGGACACCCAGAACATGTGCCCAAGTGAGGTACTTAGGGATTCTCCTTCCCTGAGAATGGTGCTGGCCCAGCTTGCGCAGGCAGTTCGCCAAGCAAGCATGAGTCACTGAAGGGACTATCTCCACCTTCCTTCGGGAGCAGACCGGTTCTCCACCGCTCCACTCCCTGGAGCGTGCTATACCAGCTACACACGCAAAATATAGGCCAAACTGAGCTGGTTCAGAATGAGGTCAACGAGGGATTATACCGTGGCGGTGCGTTTCGTGGGCTGAAAGCAGGAGCGGAAGCTAAGGATCACAGGCTCCATCTCAGACTTGCGAAATCCAGGTCTGCAATTGGACGTCTTTCCCAAGTGATGGGCATGCACATTCGAGTCTGAAAAACACTAAGATTCTAGATCAAGAGGGTCGGTTGAAGGGCAATAATGGATATGAAGCAGAAGTCAAGGAGGAACCAAAATGGACAGGAGTTGATTTCAACTAAGGTCTCTGAATTTAGTCATAACACGGCGGGTTCTGAAGCCGCTAAATTCTCGGCCTTTAAAAAGTTAGTGAGTCTGAAACTCAGGCCCTTTGCGCATGTTTGCCAAAACTCTCTTACCCCCCGCCCCCATCTTCTCCAGTCCAAGTTTCCCATTCTTGGTCTTTTTTTTTTCCATTTGGAATAAACCAGTCAGCCAGATCTTTGTCTGGTTCGGTTCGATCTGACCTAATTCTATTGCTTAGGTCTAGCCCGGTTGCTAAGGTACGGAGCTTCACGGTTGCTGGGAAATGACGTCACTCAGTGGGCGGGCTAAGCAGCCTCTCCGTCCTCCCGATTGGTCGTCATGCTGGCGATTTGCTTTCAGTCTCGTGGGCTCCACGACAGTTTGTCAGGTTCAGCTGCTCTCAGGTTCGTCCCCCAGGCCTCAGGACCCCACTCAGGGAAGGAGATGTGACTTAGGCCGCCCGACCAGGCTTTTTGTCCTTTCAGGTAGTTTTTGATTCAGTCGAGTGCCGGCAGTTGGGATGGCTACCCGAACCGTGGGGAATTACAGGGTTTATGGCTGTAAACTGGATCTGGGTGGACTCTAGCTTTGGAAAAAAAAAAAAAAGAAAGAAAAGAAAGAACTTTTAGGACTAGGTGCCCCAGTCTCAGAAGAATGACGAGGAGTCCTAACTAGAAATCCGGGAATTTGATTGTTTTTGTTTTTCAGGTATGGACTACACTTGATCCATCACTTTCTAGTCAAAACTGTTCCTTTATCTACTGTTGAAGGGATCGAGGGTCAAATGGAGACGTCACCTGTCAGCCCAATGAAAGAGAAGGGCACCGCTCAACCGCAGCAGCGGGAAGAGAACGCCCAGCGAAACCTAGGTGCAGCCACCCAGTTTAGGCAGCAGTCCCCGGGCCCCACCCCTGAAACCCTGGAGCTGGGCGTGAAACCCGATCCGGCCAGTCGAACTGTGGAGAACCCTCAAAAGATTGAAAATCCGGTGGCTGGATTTGAAGGCGAGGCTGATAAATGTCATATCTCCACTAATGCAATGGCAGAGCGTCTCCAAGCTTCTGACCTCTGGTACTGCCCTGATGGGAGTTTTGTAAAGAAGATCATAGTCCGTGGCCATGGCTTAGACAAACCCAAATTAGGCTCCCAGTGCCGCGTGTTGGCTTTGGGGTTTCCTTTTGGGTCTGGGATGCCAGAAGGCTGGACAGAACTAACCATAGGCGTTGGGCGATGGAGGGAAAAGACTTGGGGGGAACTCACAGAAAAATGCCTGGAGTCCATGTGTCAAGGTGAGGAAGCGGAAATTCGTCTTCCTGGATGCTCTGCACCCCTTGTCAAGCTCAGACTGGATTCCTTCACTAAGGGTCGGGATTCCTGGGAGTTGGAGGCTGTGGAGAAGGAGGCCCTGGCCAAGGAAGAACACGCAAGGGGTACAGAACTGTTTCGAGCTGGAAACCCTCAAGGGGCTGCCCGATGCTACGGTCGGGCTCTCCGACTGCTGCTAACCTTACCCCCACCCGGACCCCCAGAAAAAACGATCCTTTATTCCAATCTGGCTGCCTGTCAGTTGCTGTTAGGGCAGCCCCAGTTGGCGGCCCAGAGCTGTGACCGAGTGCTGGAGCGGGAGCCGGGCCATTTAAAAGCCTTATACCGAAGAGGGGTTGCTCAGGCTGCCCTTGGGAACTTGGAGAAAGCAACCGCTGATCTTAAGAAAGTGCTAGCAGCAGACCCCCAAAACCGTGCAGCCCAGGAAGAACTGGGGAGGGTGGTCATTCAGGGAAAGAAACAGGACGCAGGGCTGGCTCGGGGTCTGCGCAAGATGTTCAGCTGATTAAAAAGTTCAACTTTAAAAGAGACTGGAGCCTGTGAATTGTGTTCTGTGTTTCGGGATTTTTTAAGGGCCCCAAAGGGGTTTCAGTTCATACCTTATTCTCCCCTATGGAGAGTTAGCAATGGTGTCCGTGAGCCACTCGGGGGTGTGGTGGCTTATCCACCTCTGAAGATTTGTGTATGTATGCCTCCAAGTGCCTGCGGAGGTCAGAGGGAGCTGCATTCCCCGGAACTGGAGTTATAGATGGCTGTGAGCCGCCTGGTGTGGGTGCTGGGAATGAAAGTCAGGTGCTTGCAAGAGCAGGAAACGCCCCGCCCCCCCTTATTTTTTTGAGAAAAGGTTTATCTGTGTAGCCCTGCCTGTCCTGGAACTCACTTTATAGACCAGGCTGGCTTCGCACTCAGAAATCCCCTGCCTCTGTCCGGGATTAAAGGCGTGTATCTCCACCGCCCATTCTAGATGCTGAATTTATTGTTGATTCATTCACTAGTGCATTGTGCTTTTATGAGTTTATGGGCAACACGTGGGTGCAGATGTGTGTGGAAAAACGCTGAGCCATAGTTCCAGTCCAGATGCCGGAACTTTAAAGGAACTACATTTCCCACAAGGCTGGTCTCTGGGGCCTCTATGACGCGTGCGCAGTTCCGCCTGGTCGTGCGGAGCGGCTGGCCGCTGCCACGTTCCCATTGGCCCAAGTGTACAAGTCACCGCTCCTTCGTGTCATGTGCTCAGGACCCAAGCCTCTGACTAGTCAGTGAGACTTCCGGGATGCCCGGCTTCCTCCAGCGAGCTCACTGATTGGCCGAGCCCCGGGGGGGCGGGGCCGGGGGCCGGCTCATGGTGGGGGGTGGGGGGAAGATGGCGGAGCTGATGCTCCTCAGCGAGATTGCAGACCCGACGCGCTTCTTCACCGACAACCTGCTGAGCCCGGAGGACTGGGGTGCGCGGAGTGAGGCCCGGGGGGAGGGAGCGGGCTGCGGCCGGCGGGGGGCCCGAGAAGGCCGCAGAGGGTGGGCGAGGAAGGCTGGTCGGACGCCGAGCTCAGCGTCTGCGGCATGCGCAGCGGGGCTCTTGCCTTCCCGGGGTGCGGGAGGAAGGATGACCGTGGCCTCCCGCGGGAGGAAGCGCGGGGCTGCCCCGGGGTCGGGGGACAGGGGTTGGGCGCCTTGGGGTGTGTGGCTCAGCGAGTGGGCGGGCGGTGGGTCTGGCCCGGCCGAGCCAATGGGGAATGGAGCCGGGGCTGACACCGCGCGGGCCTCCTCGCAGACAGCACCTTGTACAGCGGCCTGGATGAAGTGGCCGAGGAACAGACACAGTTATTCCGCTGCCTGGAGCAGGATGTCCCGGTACTGCTACCTCGTCGATTCTCCTGTAAACCCTGGTGGTGGGAGGGGCACCCCAAACTCGGAGTCTTCCCCAAGCCAGAGCTCACCCTGCTTTTGTTAGACCCGAACAATGCGAGGAGAAAGTCCAGTTTCAACATTGTCTAACTGGAGCAAGCCTTTTTTCAGAGATGCACGCGGACTAGCCAGCCCGCTCAGCAATCCACTCTGGACTTCTAAGGTTCTTTTCTAGGGGAGAAATAAAAGATCAGCAGCTGTAAGCATCTTTACAGGGGCGAGAAAATCGTTTGTTAGATATTGTTAGGAGAAATACAAAGAGAGAGGAATACAAGTATTTTTGTAAAGTGCGGGGGGGGTGTGTGTAACACAATGGGCCCCTTAATTTGCAAGTTGTGTTGTTCCTCTTTTGGTTTCACACTTTCTCACTTTCCTGCCCTCGACTATGCCCCATCGCTTAGTTCGACAGCAGCTCTCTGGATGTGGGGATGGATGTCAGCCCCCCTGAGCCCCCCTGGGACCCTCTACCTATCTTCCCAGGTAAGAGACCCTTCCCGCTGCATCCTGGAAACCGTAATTCCCATGTCGTTGTGTGCATGCAGTCTACGCCGGTGTCTGCACTCTGCTCTCCCATCCCCGGTGTGCATGCTGTCCATCCTCACCCTCCCACCCTCCACCCTGCTCAGGTTACTTATTTTCGCAGTGTTGGCTTCATGCATGCGAGCCGGGCATCCTTCCTGGTTGTCTCCCAACTCTTTGCCTTCCAGATCTTCAGGTGAAGTCTGAGCCGTCCTCTCCCTGCTCGTCCTCCTCTCTCAGCTCAGAGTCTTCGCGCCTTTCCACAGAGCCCTCCGGCCAGGTGAGAGCAGTCACCTGTGGTTCTCTGTGGCAGAAATTCCGCTCCGTTCGCTTTACTTCTAGGTGCCGAGGTTCTATCTGTGCACTGTGAGTCACGAAGCGAGTCATGACACCTCATGTGCTGAACGTCCACTCTGGTGGCGTGGAAGGGGCTGGGGCCTGTCAAACATGCAGAGGATGACAGTAGTGGGGCTTGGGAAAGCAGTGCTGGTGACACTGTTCTTAACCAGTGTCCATGGAAATGTGACAGTGGCAGTCTGGAGAGTTTGTTGACTTTCCCGAGAAGGAAATAGAAGAACAGAGAGCCAGGAGCCTGGATAGAATCTCAGAGCTGTTGAGGCCACGGCACGGATAACTGGTGATTTGGTGGAAT